GATCAAGTCTATAATAAGCAAGTCAACTTTGCCCACAGCTAATATGCATTAATCATCTCAGAAAAAGAAATCTGTTGGGAAGAGATAAATGGAAACAATGACAGACCATAAAACCCTCATCTTTTCAGCCTGCAAAAATATAATGAAAAGTAGATGTGGTGTAACACCAAGAATAACCATGTATTAAACAAAGTTCTGAGCTCTGCTGCTAACTAGCCATAAGATAAAAGGAAAATAATTAAAGGAATATGTTATTTAACCTCTCTGGGTGTCAGTTTTCTCAACACTAGAATAACAAAGTTGAGCCAGACAATTACCAACACCTTCAGCTCAGAAAATGTTACAGTTCTACAGATTCCAAGAGATATAAGCATTATTGCCCCTAGCTATTAGGGTTAGTGACCTTAAATCAGGACGCTGATTATCTGAGACCGTGACCATTCAAAGTCAAAGCCTTCTTCTTCTTTTTTTTTTTTCCAGTCTCTTTGACAGGTGATTTTATTTAAGTTGCTGGTGAGGAAGCAAGTGGGCAGAATATAAATATGCCTCCACAACCATGAGCTCTCGTTTTTTGAGCTTGAAAAAATATGATGCAAGCTTGAACTGCAGTCTTGTAGCTAGGTTGTTTTTAACATAGAAACAAAAATTATCCTGATGATAAAAGTTGTATTTTTGAGAGCTGCCAAATCCTTTCTGTTCAGGACTGTACTTAATATTTTAAACCACCCTGGATACTTTTCTCTCTGGACTGTCATCCATGATAGTAAGTTATGCACATAAGAAGGCACATATCTTTAGGCCCCTGGATTAGCATATATTACTGTTTTCATATATGAAGATATTGTTAACAGGAATCATCTGTATAGATGGTGTGGCAAGAGACCTAAGTTATATTTTCAGAAATCTATTCCACATCCCATATAAGAAAAAATGAATCTTTGTATTATAAATGACACCCCAGTTATTGATAGGTATTTATATATACACAAGGATTTATGCAACAGCTAGTTCCCCTTCCCCTAAAACTCCCCTCTCTACCTATCCTTTTCCTTCCTGTATTTCAAATCTCTGCTCAAATTTCTTCTTTTCTCCTGTAATACCTCCTTGACCATTCCAGCCCATAGTGACCTTCCTCCTTTCCACTCATACTCCAATTGAGCTGTAATTTAATAAATATGAGTATTTCCCTCCTTTGATGTAGAGGCCAACGAAGTCATGTCTGCCCATCCTAGGTGACTCTTGTCTATGACTTCTCATAAATTAACCACAAGGGATTCATTCAGGGTGTTAGGGATCTTTTTGGATATGACAAAGAGAACAGCAGAACATGGGGGCTGACCAGTAGTTATCCTTTCCCTTATCTTCTTACCACAAGGGATATCTTCTATTTTATAGTAGATTTCTTTGATATGACTAGGAATACTTATTCTCTATAACAGGACTTCTTAATTTTGGGTTCATAGGTCCCCAAAGTGTCTGAGGATAGATTTCAGGGTGTCGATGAACTTGGATGGGGAAAAGAAATGTGTGTATATATATATATATATATATATATATATATATATGTGTGTGTGTGTGTATATATATATATATATATATGTGTGTGTGTGTGTGTGTATGTTTATATATATGTATATATACATATATATAAACATACACACACACACATATATATATATATATATATATATATATATATATATATATATATACACACACACATATATATACACTTTCACTAACCCCTAGTATAAATGAGTATTTCCTTCAATTATTTAAAAACATTATTTTGAGGAGGGGTCTATAGAGCAGATTGCCAAAGGGATCCATGATACAAAAAAGGTTATGAACCCCTGTTCAATACCAATGGCTTCAAAATGCATGGGCTATTTTAGGTTTAGGCAACTAATCTATTTGCACTGCTGCCATCTAAGTCCTTATTTCTCTTCAGAAAGAATTAGTTGCTTGAAGAAAGGGACTAAGAGCTGCTTAATATGACTTAGGGGTCTACAAAGGACTCTTTGGCTAGGGTCTGAGATTTTTGGCTGATAATACTCATTTGACAACTATAGACTTGCTTTGTAACATCATTCCCATTTTATTTAACTTGCCATGCATTTATGTCTTACCTCCACTGCAAGTTCCTTCAGGCAGGGACCCTATTTTACACTCCTTTAAATATCCCACAGTACCCATCACAGGCCCTATTACAGGCACTCAAAACATACTCGACTGACTTAGGTCCTGAGGAAAATCTAGCTTTTTGTTTTCTACATAGCAGTTCACAAGGATCAATGAGGAATCATCTTTAAAATGGTTTTGAAGTATACTGGGTCACTTCAGGTAGCAGGATGGCTTCATTTCTAGTTGCTTGTCAACTGTCATTTAGTCATTTAAGGTGCATCATTTAACAGTGTGCTGCTAATCAGAATTTCATTATGGTGAGCAACCACATGATGTAATGAGATCTAAAATGGATATTGTTTTAAGAAGGTGTTTTAAGAAATTATTTTTATACTAGAAGACTACCACCAACCAGTTGTGGGTGCCTTCTATTATACTGAATGGCTTCTACTTAATTAACACTGCATCTAACTGAGAAATTATTTTCTAAGAATGCTTCTTCACTATGTAATTTTGTTATTCACTTGGTCGTTCTCTTCATCCATCAAGGACACTGTGACTGGCTGTTGTTTTTTCCCCATACCTGAGAGAAAAATGTACTTCTGTAAAATCCAAATAAATCCTTCTCAGTTCTACTCCAGTGAAACGATGTGCCTGAAATGACACCCGGTCTTTTGAAAGGGCTCAGAAACGAATAGCATTAAGTTTATGATGCAATCTGATCCTGGGACTGATAAAGGGTCACACCAAAGGTAGCGTGGAAGAGTACGAAAAGCAGCAAACTCAGATTCAAGAGCCCTGGATACTAGCCCTGGCCCTGACATTCTGTGTCTCTTTATCTGTAAAATGAAGGTCACGCCAAATTCTTTGTTGACCTTTATCATAAAGACAAGAAGTTAAAGTGTTTTGAGAAATTAAAAAAGAAGTGGGATAAGACATATTCAGGAGTACAATACAGCAGTCAAACAAAGCTAAGGTGACTTTAGATTCCATTAAAAGAAGCAGTGGCCCAGATGAAGGAGATGAGACCCCAAAAGCCTGGTTCTGGTTAGATCACGTCAGCATTTTTGTGGAATATTTTAGGAAGGATAATTGTCTTATTAAAAACAAACAAACAAACAAACCAACCTGTTGTAGTACAGCAATAATGAAACAAACAACAGGAAGGTATTGTTTTCCTGCATAAAATTCATGTGTCCTACTATCTAGAATTCAGGGATTCTTAACCTGGAATCCATGAATTTGTTTTATAATATTTTGATAATATTATATGACTAGCTTCTTTTGTAATCTTATAGGTTTTATTTTATGCGTTTAAAAACATTAATCTGAGAAGGGGTCCACAGACTTCTTCAAACTGCCAAAGTGGGCCTTGATACAAAAAACATGAAGAACTCCTGACCTAGATGAATGGCATAAGGAAGAGGATGTGTGAGTTAGTATCTTTTGCCTCCTTGCTTTTCAGAATTTCAAGGGCTTTAATAGCCATGCTTATTATAATCTGTTTTGCTTCTAATCCCAATTACCACTAGTTATTACCTTTAGCAGAAAGGTTTGGGAGAGCTCCTGCTAATCTGTGGATTCATTCATTGATTCATCTATCCATCTAACAAACATTTATTAAACACTGACAGTATACAAAATGCCATGCCAAGTTCTGGGAATACAATTTTTTTTTTTAATTGCACAATGCCTGCCACCAGAGAACTTTTATTCTATAAGTGATATATGACATGGCAGGGTAGACCTTCGATTTTGAGAAGAAAATTCCTGCTAGCATTATGCAATTCTCTCCTGATGGAAATATCTTTGCAACAGATATGGTAGCATTTTATTTTATTTAGTGAGCATTTATTATATGCCTGTTATGTTGTAGAGAGTCTGCTAGAACAGATACAAATATACTGTTATAATATATACAAATTAAATATAAATATACAAATATAAAAATAACCTCTGCCTTCAGGAGTTTATATTCTGCTAGGTAGGGAGGATTGAGGAAAAACATGCACTTAGAAAATTAAATACAAATATTACCAAGTAATTTCTGGGGAGATAGCAATAGAAAAAGGTTTTACAGCTGAGTTTTGAAGTTTGGAGTTGAATTTTGAAGGAAAATGGAGATTATCAGAGTTGGAGGTGAAAGGGATAACACTCTAGGTAAGTTTACAACCTATGTAGGGTCACAGAGGTGGAAGATGAAATAAATCTATATTTATATATCTATAGATTGATAGATCTGTACATGCATACACACATATATACATACATCTACACACATTTCTATGTATACATGGAACACCAAGTTTTGCTGTAATGAGGAGGAACACAAAAGGGGGTAGGGGGTAGTGTGCATACAATGAGTCTGGAAAGGCAGGCTAGGGCCAAATTGTGAAGAGCTACTGGAATTTCTTCTTTTTTTAAAAAATAAAATTCACATTTGATAGTTTATTTTCCCCCAATTACATATAAAAATAATTTTTAACATTCCTTTAAAATTTTTTTTGAGTTCCGAATTCCCTCCCTCCCTCCTTCTTTATCCTCCCTTCTCAATGAGAGGGCAAGCAATTTGATATAGGTTATACGTGTGCATTCATACAAAACAGATTTTTGTGTTAGTCATGTTGTAAAAGAAAATGCAGACTAAACAACCCAAGAAAAATGAAGAAATTAAAGGAAAAAGTCTGCTTAAATCTGCATTCAGACTCCATCAGTTCTTTCTTTGGAGATGGATAGGATTTTTCACCATCAGTCCTTCGGAATTGTCTTGGATCACTGTATTGCTGAGAAAGCTGTCATCCACAGTTGATCATCATACAATATTGCTGTTGCTATGCACAATGTTCTTCTGGTTCTGCTCATTTCTCTTTGCCTCAGTTCATAAGTCTTCCCAGGCTTTTCTGAAACCATCCTGCTCATCATTTCTTCTAACACAGTAGTATTCCTTCATAAGCATGTATCACAACTGGTTGAGCTATTCCCTAATTGATGGATATCCCCTCAATTTCCAATTCTTTGCCATCACTAAAAGAGCTGCTATAAATATTTTTGTACATATAGGTCTTTTTCCTCTTTGTTTTTTTTGTCTCTTCAGGATATAGGCCTAGGGCTACTGGAATTTCTTGAGCACAGAAATGATTTGGTGAGGCTTGTAGTTCAGGAACACCAATTCAGCAGCTGAGAGGAGAATGAATTGGAGAGGGTAGAGGCTGGAAGCAAAGAGAACAATTAGGAGGGCATTTTAATAATCCATTCTGGACATAATAAGGGCCTATACTATGGTGATAGAGGAATGAGTGGAGAGAAAGGGAAAGACATCAAAGAAGTCATAGAGAAAAAAATTAACAACAGGTGGTAACTGATGGAATATGTGGGGTGAGGGCAAGACAATAGTCAAGAATGACTTGAAGATTGTGAACCTAGATGAGTGGATGGTGATACTTCAACAGAAATACAGAAGTTAGAAAGAGGAGGAGGTGCATAGAATCATGGTAGTTGAGAAAATCATTGCCATATTATTTTATAATCATAAGAGATCACATTTCTGGAGTTATGAAGTTAACAAGTATTTCCTCATAGCAAATTAATAAGATAGGTCATGAAAGTTATCACTACCTCTTTTAGACAAATGAAGAAATAGTCTCAGAGATGTTAAATGATTTACGCATGGTTACATTTAATGTCATATAACAACTGAGTGCTGGAGTCAGGACTTAAGTCCAGTTTTTTGTCATGGACTTCAATATTCTTTCCATTCTATAACTCTGTGCTGTTATGATAGTGATCTAAGACCATCCCATCACGCCATTTTGAACACAGATGGAATGGACAGATATTAGCTGCCTTCCATGGAAATAAAGTAGCAGAAAGTCCATATAATTTTGCAGCAGTTTCAACTGAATGACTTTAGTGGATTGTGTTAGTATTCACTAAACCCTGTGGGGCATCTTGCTATGGATTCAGGACCTCCTGTGTCCTTTGCTATTGAGATTTATTTTTATTCCTCCAGTGCACTGTTGTGAGATGTGTCCCAGTTTATGACAGCTTTAACACCTCTTTTCCTTTTATCATCTTGGGCTTTTGAGTGTTTCACTGCTGAAAGTATTGGGAAAGGTGTATTAGTAAAGTAACCAGTGACAGTGCTCTGTATTGGTTCGAGTGATACCCATTCTCACAATTCAGCCTTCACCTGGATGTGACCCTATTCCTGCAGGAGGACAAATGAACTACTGCATTTTTGTTTGACATCCTCTATATTCTGATGCTTTCTGTGCTTTCTCTTACCTCCACATCCTGGCTTCCCTGGCCTCCCATAAATGATTCACCTCAAATTCTACCTTCTACAGTAAGCCTTTAGCTGTCTCCCCTACTGCTAGTACCTTACCTTTGAGATGACATTCCATTTACACTATATACACATACATATGTATGTATGTATTTATATATATATGTATAGATATATAGCCACATACCTACATCTATCTACCTATCTTGTATATACTTAGGTGTTTGCGTATTCTCTCCCTCACTAGAAGGTGAGCTCCTTGAGAGCAGAGACCATTCTTATCTTTCTTTGTAATTCCAGCACTTAGCAGAGTACCAGCTACATAGTAAGTGTTTAATTAATGCTTGTTGTTGATGATAATGATAATGAAGGCCATATGTCCTACCTCTGATCAGTGGTTCTTCAACTGTAGTCTGTGAACCTAAAAAAATCGATAACCATTTTTCAATATAATTGGTGTCTTTTTATATAGGTATTTTATTTTATGTGTTTAAAAACATTATTCTCCTATGGGGGTCCATAGGCTTCATCTAACCATCAAAGGGTCCATGACATGACAAACTTTAAGAGCGATTGACTTGGAAGAACGTCACAGAGAAGAGGATAGGTGAGTATATCTCTTCTCTGCTGTGCTCCTCTTTTTTTTTTTAAACATTTCAAATTATTATTTATTTATTTTAAACATTCTGTTCTTTTTAAATTTTGAGTTCTAAATTCTCTCCCTCCTTCTCACATCCTAGACCACCCATTGAGAAGGCAAGCAATATGACATCAATTATACATGTAAAATCATGCAAAACATATTACCATATTAGCTATATTTCAGAAAAAAACCAGAAAAATAAAGGGAGAAAATTATACTTCAATTTGCATTTAGAGTTCATCAATTTTCTTTCTGGAGGTGGATAGCATTTTTTCATCATGGGTTCTTTGGAATTGTCTTGGATTGTTGTATTTTCACAGTTGATCATCATTACAACATAGTTATTACTGTCCACAATAATCTCCCAGTTCTTCTCACTTCACTTTGTATCAGTTCATATAGGTCTTGCCATGTTTTTCTGAAACCATCCCCCTTGTCCTTTCTATAGCACAATAATATTCCATCACAATCATATGCTACAACTTCTTCAGCTATTCCCCAATTGATGAGCATCTCCTTGACTTCCAATTCTTTGCCACCACAAAAAAAGAGCTGCTATAAATATTTTTGTACACATAGCTCCCTTTTCCATTTCTTTGATCTCTTTGGGGTACAGACCTAGTAGTGGTATTGCTAGATCAAAGGGTATGCACAATTTTATAGCCCTTTGGGCATAGCTCCACATTGTTCTCCAGAAAGGTTGGACCAGTTCACTATTCCATCAGCAGATTATTAGTGTACCTATTTTCCCCTCATCCCCTCTAGCATTTATAATTTCTGATAAGTATGAAGAGGTACTTCAGAATTATTTTAACTTGCATTTCTCTAATCAATAGTGATTTAGAGAATTTTAAAATATGATTTTGGATAACTTTGATTTCTTCTGAAAAATGTCTATCATATTCTTTAAATATCAATTGGAGAATGGCTCTTATTTTTATAAATTTAACTCAGTTCTATATACAGTATGCATTTGAGAAATGAGGCCTTTATCAGAGACACTTGCTGTAAAAATTTTTCATATTACTTCATTGTCTATGGTACATTCAGCATAATGTAGTTTCCCTGATTATCTCTTTTAATTAGGTCTATCTATTTTTGCTTTTGCTCTGTCTGAGATAATGATTGCTACCGCTGCTTTTTTTACTTCAGCTAAAGCATGTTAGATTCTGCTCCAACCCTTTATCTTAACTCTGTGTGTGTCTTTCTATTTCAAGTGTGTCTCTTATAAACAATATATTGTCAGATTCTGGTTTCTAATCCATTCTACTATCTCCTTCCATTTTATAGGTGAGCTTATCTCACTTCATTCACAGTTACGTTTACTATGTATTTCCCTCCAACTCATTTTATTCGGTTCTTCTTTTCTTTTTCTTTTTATCCTGTCCCTCCTCAGAAGTGTATGACCTGTCCTGCCTTTCATCATCCCCTTCCCCCTTTCTCTTATCCTTTCCCCCTCCTATTTCCTTATTGGGTAAGTTACTTTTCTATATACAACTCAGTATACAGACAGATAGAGACATAGATAGAGATAGATGCAGAGATATGTATATAGATATAGATACATACACATATACATATACATTCATACATTTATATGTGTATACATATATACACTATATATATGTATGTATATATATATATTTTTTTTCTTCCCTCTTTGAAGCAGCTCTGATGAGAATGAATTTCAAGCTTTTCCTGCAACCCCCCATTTTCCTCACCGTCACAAAAGCTCTTCCTTGTGTGCTTCTTGTGAGAAAATTTTTTATGTGAGAAAATTTTCCCCATTCTGCCTCTCCCTTCTCCCTTCCCTCAGTGCATCCCTTTTTCTCATTTCTTCATTTTTTTTTTGAGATGAGTCTAACATAATTGACTCACATCTATGCCTTCTGTCTGTGTAAACTCCTTTTATTTGCCCTAATAATGATAAACTTCTTAGGAGTCATATGTATTATCTTTCAATAAAGAAATATAAACAGTTTAACTTCACTGAGTACTTTATGATTACTCATTTATGTTTCCCTTTTTATACTTGAGTCTTATATTTGAATGCCAAATTTTCTATTCAGTTCTGGTCTTTTCAGCAAGAATGCTTGAAAGTTTTCTATTTCATTAAATATTCATTTTCCCTAGAAGCATCATACTTAGTTTTGCTAATCTATTCTAAGTTGTAATCCCAGCTCCTTTGCCTTCTGGAACATCATATTTCAATCCCTTCACCCTTTTACTGTGGAAGCTGCTAAATCTTGTGTTATCTTGACTGTGACTCCATGATATTTGAATTGTTTCTTTCTGGCTGGTTGAAGTATTTGTCTTAGATCTGGAATATTGAGAATTTGACTATAATATTCCTAGGAGTTTTCATTTTGGGATTTCCTTAAGGAGATCATTGGTGGATTCTTTCCATTTCTATTTTACCCTCTGGATCTCAAACACGAGCACCGTTTTCCTTCATAATTTCCTAAAATATAATGTCTAAATTCTATCTTTGATCATGACTTTTAGGTAGTCCAATATTTCTTAAATTATCTCTTCTTGATCTATTTTCCAGGTCACTTGTACTTCCAATGAAATATCTTACATTTTCTTTTAACCTTTTCGTTCTTTTGACCTTCTTCTATTGTTTCTTGATGTGTTATGGAGCCATTAACTTCCACTTGTCCAATTCTAATTTTTAAGGAATTATTTTCTTCAGTGAGATTTTGTATCTGTTTTTTAAATTGGGTCAATTCTTCCTTTTAAAGGAGTTCTTTTCTTCAGTGAATTTTTGCATATCTTTTTCCAATTAGCCAATTCTACTTTTTAAGGAATTGTTCTCTTCAGGAAATTTTTGTATCTCTTTTACCATTTGGCCAATTTTTTTTAAGGTAACATTTCTCCAGTATTTTTGGTGCCTCTTTTATGAAGCTGTTAATTCTTTCTCTCTCTCTCTCTCTCTCTCTCTCTCTCTCTCTCTCTCTCTCTCACATAAAATTTTTTTTTAAAGAGGTAATTGGGGTTAAGTGACTTGGCCACAGTCACACAGTTAAGTGTCTGAGGCAGATTTGAACTCAGGTCCTCCTGACTCCAGGTCCGATGTTCTCTCCACTATACCACCTACCTGCCCCTGTTAATTCTCTTTTCATAATTTTCATGCATCACTCTCATTTCTTTTATCAATTTTTACTCTACCACTCTTATCTCTTTCTTTAACTCTTCCAGGAATTCTTGTTGGGTTTGAGTCTAGTTAGCATTTTTATTTGAGGCTTTTTTGGTAGTAGTTTTCACATTTTTGTCTTCTTTTGGGTTTATGTCTTGGTCTTCCCTGCCACTATTAGATTTTTATTATCAATTTTTTTGTTACTTGCTCATTTAATACCTGTGGGACCTTTGGCAAGTCACTTAATTTTTCTCAGCCTCAGTTTGTATATGTCTCAAACAGGTAATTATAGCACAGCAATAGGATTGTTGCAAATAACAAATGAAGTAAGATGTGTAAAGTGTTATATCAATATTAGGTATTATTACTAAAAACTTCAGTGAATTGTAAAGGAGAAAGTTTTCATTACCAAAATGAAAAAAAAATTAGCTATTAAAAATCTAGAGTAAATTAGCAGAATGAAGACCAATTACAAAGAGGGTCTTTTCATCTTCACATCTTCCATAACACCTCTTGGATTTATTCTTCCTGTTAATTATCATAGTCTAGGTTAATGTAATCACAGATTTGGATTCTTATAATTGTCTCATAACTGGCTATCACATTGTTTTCAACACGTCTTTTCCCTTTTAGATAACCTTGAGAGACAGTGTGGCATGCGAATGGGTACTAAGTTTGGAGTCAGTTTAAGGCCTAGATGTGAATTTTTCCTTAAATACTTGGTGGTTATGTGATCCTGGACAAGTCACTTAACTTGACCTCAGTTTCTTCATCTGTAAAATGAGGTTGTTGGACTCATAGCCTCTGAGGTCTCATCTAACTTTAAATCTATGATTCTATGATCCTGCTCTATTAAACTCCTCAGTCCAGTATTTAACACTTTCCCGCTCTTCAATTTCATTATGACTCAACACCATGGCTATTCCATACCAAGTCAAGCCATTTGACTAGTTAGCCCTCTCCCATGCTTGATTATTCTGGCCTGATTGCATTTACTCCCCCTGAAATGTTGTTCTTACCTTCTTTCCACTATTCTATGTCCTCATATCTTTTAAGACCCAGCTCATAATTCTCTATCTCTGAGAACCCTACCCTGATTAATCCGTGCCCAACCGAATCGCTTCCTTATTCAACATTCCCTTAGCTCTAATGTACTTAATTTGTACCATCACTTTGCAACTGTTAGAATGCTATATTGATACTCTTTCTCATTTCCTTTTACACATTTTATTTCCCCAACAAGCTACTCAAAGACTAAGCTGATGTATGTCATTTCTCTTATACCCCCTACATGGTGATTACACCATGGGTGGTTTTAATAGATGTCCATTAGTTCATTTAACCCAGTGATTTTATAATCACACTTCTTTGGACCTCATGTTGAAGGATGACTTAGTCTAGAAGTAAAATGCTGGTCTTTTTAAGGTGAAATACTGCAACAATTCAACTACAGTACACAGATTGCCAGAGAAGGATCAAGTAATTAAAATCTAGTTTTAGCAAGAAAAATGAAGAAAAGATATCTTGAGCAATTAGGAAAAGAAACAAAGATATTGAGAAATAGACACTAATTGAAAGTGGGTAAGGGATTCCTTAGAAAAATAAACTATTGGTACATGCACACCAATTAATCTTAGAA